TGCAAGAGCCGTTTGAACAACTCGGTGGTCCCCGGGACTTCATTGATTCCAAGAACTTGATTCTGGATGCTTTCAAATTCTGGACCTAATTTGGTTAAGAGAAGTATTACAAAGAATTTCTCTCGTTGGGTAAGTTGCTCTGCGGGCGTACCACCAATAGGCATGAGTGTACCAAACTCAGCAATCAAACTTTGGGCTTTGCCAAGAAAAGTTTCCATATCAATACCATCTTTCTTCAAGTTAACCAAATTGTCAACAACATTATAGAATTGAGAGACATCATTAGTGTACAGAGATTGAGCTTGACTCCACACCTCGACACATGTCTTAAAGGGCCGGAATAAAGGTAACAATTGTGGAGAAAGAGACTGCCAAAGGAGACTACAAAGTTGAGCATCTAACCTTTGCCAAACTGACTTTTCTTTTTCCGGTATCATATCCACTCTTTTTTGCAAGTGGTCAACAACACCTTGGCCCATAAACCATAATTCTACGGCATTCGACCAAGAGTGGTAATTTTGAGAACCACATAATCTTTTAGAAGTGATTACCGGATTTCCAGACAGATTAGGCACATAAACAGAGCTCGAAGAAGTAGGTAAATTATTGGCAGGAGAAATACCCGAAGAATTTTCGTCAGAAGACATCGCGACCAAAATGAAATCTGATGGTACAGACGAAATTGCAGAGGGCCGACGAGCCGGACTGGGAAGTTTCGCCGGAAAACCTCGCCGGAGATGGCCTCAAGCGCCGGCGCGTGGGGTCGGAGCGCCGGCGACGTGGTGGCGCGTGAAGGCGCGTGGGCGGTTTTCCGGTGACCGGAAAAGGTGGGTCGGGGTCGCCGGAGACTGGAGATGAAGGTTGTAGTATTATTTTGACAAAAGAGCACACCTTTAGGAAGTAATCTGAGAAAATAGTTTCGGATGAACAGTACTTGTTACTGTTCACCGAAAAAATTTTCAAATTTTTTCAAATTGTTGGCTTGATACCATGTTGAGAGAGATGTAGAAAGAGTTGTTATTACTTCCTTGTCTCAATGGGGAGACAATAGAGAAATATATACAGACTAAGAGACACAATCCTACAGACACAACCCTACACAACTTCAACAACTATATTTCTACAGACACAACTTTTGTGTTTCAACAACTACAACCCCTATACACAATTTTTTTTTTGGCATGAAGGCCAGAAAAAGGCTTTTTTCCCTAACAGAAGATTATAAGTACAAACAGGTTGAGAAGTGGGGAGATGGTGCTCTTTAACTAGGCTGAGATGAGGCATAATATTCCAAATAGCCACCCCACTGCTGTATTTTGCATGAATGTAAGTAAGGATGTCTAATAGGATCTATGGGTTCTTATCAGTTGATGTTATATTTGGGTCTTTAGCACCTGCAGCTTCAGGCAAACATGAAGTCGGCAGTGTATTCAAAACAAATATCGGAAGTATGCAAATTACCTGAGTGAGAAGCCGGGGTCGGTGGTGTAGTTGAAGCCAAAGGACTTCCCTTTCCCTTTCTCATCCTCGACTGCAACGAGAACACCATGAATATTAGTATGCTCTCAAACTCTAGTTATGTAACTGTCTGTGTTTTGTGCTGCTTATCACCTTATCTACTTACTCCAAAAGACTAAGCACTATGCTGAACATCAATTCTTGGGCAAATTATAATGTGAACCGTGGTTCACATTGTAGACATTATAGTCATCGATAAATGATCATTTTTAATATACTAAAAGTTGTCTTTTAATACACTGAAGGTTCATTCCTCACAATCCCAACTAAACATACAAGGTAGTCTTACGTTTCCGTAATCTCACATTATGTCTTGAGAAGTAATTTTATTACCTAGGATAATTTCACATTCCAGGAACTAGCCTTTGGTTTAAGTATCCAAAAGGCCAAAAATGAGCATTTAGTATACTAAAAATGAACATTCAATGTATTAAAAATGAACCTTATGTCAGTGGCCCACCTTGTAAGGTGGACCATGGTCCATAGTATAATGATTGCAATTCTTGAGAGTTTTCAAGTAGATAAGAGAAAAACTGTTTTGAAACCCAAACTTAAATTTAGGCTTTTCAAATTAATTGTTTTAGTGTTTTATAAATTATAATTATAATACACTTTATAGGCATATAAATAACCCTTCCAAAATTTCAAATACCTCCCTCCATTTAAACAACTTTAAATTCTAACCTAATAAATGCATGTGCTTTATTATAATTTTGAAAGGTAGATGTGATAACATCTATATTCTAAAAAGGACTTTTAGTAAAAGCATATTGAGAACTTTTTCGATATTTTTTTTTTGTTGAAGTATCTCAAATCATAATATATCTTTTTGAAATTTTTTAATTCAGACATTCTGATCAGATAAACCTCCTCTTAAGTGGAGAATGAAACATAGTGTTGGAAAACAACATGTCTCTTCTATAAAGAGTCCTGTCTTCTCAATATATATATATATATATATATATATATATATATATATATATATATATATATATATATATATATATATATATATATATTCTTCTATCAACCATGCAGCTCTACATATTGCTATGAATCCAGTCTTTCATAAACGAACCAAACATATTGAAATTGACTGTCACTTCATTAGGGGGACAAGATTATGTCGGGTTGGATTACTACAAGCCATGTTAACTACAGTGATCAATTGGCAAATATCCTTCTTCCAAAGGCTGAACCCCAACCCTAAGGACCCTCAATTGGCAAATATCCTTACTAAGTCACTTAGAGGTCCTAGAATAAAATATATTTGTAACAAGCTCAACGCATATAACCTATATGCTCTAGCATGAAGAGTGTTGGAAAAGAACATGTTTCTTCTGTAAAGAGTCATGTCTTCTCAAATAGGTTCCTTAGATTTTGTGTGTGTGTCTATATATATATATATATATATATATATATATATATATATATATATATATATATATATATATATATATATATATATATATCTGTGTGTGTGTGTGTGTGTATACTTCTTTACAGTATTGATAATCAATCAAAAAATACAGTTGTCAAGTATATTTATTTACACATAGAAAGCAAGTACAACTAAGTCATTTGAAGTTTGAATCATGTTTATAGTGTTTGTGACAAGGAATTAGTGTTGCAGCCTAAATTCCATTTTTTGGATTATCCCATATCATCTAGAAAGTAACATTAAACCCAGAAAATTCCAAGGATCAATTTCCAGGCTCTGCATTGATCATCTACAGGAAAAAGATATTAGACATATACAATGGAAGTACATTTTTCTCCTACTTTCCATGGGTTTGAAAGCTTGTTTTGGAAGCACTAGACATGGAATTCAAAACAGATTCCCATGAATCACTAAGCTATCTTCTCAGAAAAAAACTAGCAATGCCAGTGCCAGAAACAAATATGCAGTAAATTAACTTTAGATCTGACAAATGTATGAAGTACGAACAACAATTTTCATTCTCTCCCTTTTAATTAGCAAGACAGTTATAACAAACATCAATGTTTTGAAAACCGATATGTGCAAAAGGCTGATATTTAAGAATCCAATATCTTTAAAGTTTTATCAGCAGGTTTGCATTCTTCAAGAGCAGAAGCCACGTACTGCTAGAGAGAGATGGTATAAGTAACGAATTAAGTACATAGAGGTGCAGATTCACTAATCTGCTATTGTATGTACATCTAGGATGACACTGCTTATTTATTGAGGGTACATAAACTTGCAGTGTCGGAAGGATGGGAAAAAGAACGTCAGAGTTTGAAATATCATAGAACAAGATGTACTTCCGAATGCAAGTAATAAACTTCCAGGGCTCTCCTGTTCCCTGAAGCGCCTCAAGTTTTGCGCCTGGCATAAAATTTTAATGAGTGCCTTGGTAATTGGTATAGCGGAAAATATGTCATCAATATTTGAACTACATGGAAAATTAATACCTAGTGGAGACAAAGCCCTGACCTAATTGCATCTCTCTACATCACTTCAAATCACATTAATTTGCAAAGAAACTTAAAACTGTTATCTTTAGGAATGGTACATTTAAGGACAGCCTTCTCCTATTATAGTAATTTCAGACTACACTCCACATTAACTCTACTAAACACTTGTTTGCCTCAGTCTTGAAACACACTTGTAAGCCAATTAGTAATTCAGTAAACTATGGATCCTTGCTCACATAGCTATGCAAGCTTCAATGAACATTACTCAAATTCTGATGAACATTTACTTCTAAAGCAACAAGCATAATAATGATAAAAAATTTGATTAAAGGCAATGAAGGCAATTTATACCATACACCCCGGCGTATGGCTCTATGTGCGCCCAGCTTCAATATGACGCCGTATGGAATTGATAAGTAACGGCTTTTTTTTTATTGTTCCGTTATCGCCGTTAAGTGTTAAGAAGAGGGAATTGAGCGAGGGTTTCTAAACTGATGGTGTCGAACATGTCTGTTGGATTAGAAACACTGTATCGAGCTGATTTTTCGATTTGCTCTATATTTCGCAATTGTTGGATGTAAGTCATGGATGAATCGATTGCGCAGCAGCATGAGGCGGAGACAGAGCAATTGTGTAGATTTTAGGATTGAATGTCATAGTAAGATGGACTGAAAAGATATTTTATGTGTTTATGATTATGTATATTGTGCCATGTGTTTATGTGTATTATAGTTATGGATTATGTACATTAATAGTAGGGGTATTTAAATTGTACGTGGTTTGTAGCTGATCAGGATTTGGTAGGGATGTCAGTGTGTTCGGTTGATGAAGCATATGACATGTATAATGACTATGCTTTTAGAGTAGGTTTTAGTGTGAGGAGGGGTAAGCAAAGATATACTTCTGCTACAAAAACAATGAAGACGAAGATGTTTCATTGTTCGAAGGATGGATTTAAAAGGATTACAGGAAAAGGGTTTTATTCTAAAATTGATAGTCGTACAGGTTGCAGTGTATTTGTCTAATTCGATTTACATGAGAATGGGATGTGGATTGTTTCGAAGCATGAGAAGTTGCATAATCACGAATTGGTTCCACCAAGCAAGAGTTACCTTCTAAGGTCACATAGGATGGTGTCTAGGAATCATATTTCCTATCTTACTGATTTGAAGAGCAGTGGTGTGTCTGTTGCAAATGGTGTAAGATTCCTTAAAACACAATCAGGGGGATCACCACTTGTTGGTTTTACAAGTAGGGATGCATATAACTCTTTATGTACCGATGCATTTAACAAATTGGATGGGACTGATTCAAACACACTGATTGAAATATTCAAACGGAGGCAGTCAAGTGAAAGGGATTTTTACTTTGATTTTGAGGTGGATTTGGAGTCAAGGTTGTGTAGTTTTTTTTTGGGAGGGATGGACGAATGAGGAGAGATTATGATTTGTTTGGGGACTTTTTAGTTCACGATACAACATATCGTACTAACAAATATGACATGATTTGTGGACCTTTTGTTGGCATGAATCACCATTGCATGAATGTTATGTTTGGATGCGGTTTTTTGATGAATGAGAAAACTGAGTCATTTGTATGGTTGTTTAAGACATTTTTGAGGTCTATGGATTACAAAAGTCCACAAAGTATAATTACTGATCAATGTGCTGCTATGACTGCTGCAATTGTTCAAGTTTTTCCAAGTTCACAACATCGGCTATGTATATGGCATATTGGTGAGAACTCAAAGAAGCACATTAAAGGGTTAAGAAATCAAAAAGATTTCTTAGATATATTCAATTGTTTATTTGAAGTATACGGATACAGAGGCAGAGTTTGAATTTTACTGGACAAGGCATGTGTCTGATTTATGCTTCGTTATTTTTCTTTTTTATATTATTAGTTTATATTGACTTATCATTGAATGACTATATTTAGATTATATTTTACAGAATACAGAATTAATTTTTTGGATCAAGTTTATGTGTATTTATTTGATAGTTTATGTGTATTCATGTATAAGATTATGTATATTAGTCTGTTCTGTATGTGATATCCAGATATGCTTGTAGGTTTACTTTAATATATTTATGGCATGTTATTTCAGGATGGTTAAAACATATAAATGTCACAATAATCATTGGATTGAAAAGCTTTATGGGTGTAGAGAAAAATGGTGTCCTGCATTTAATAAAGATTATTTTTTGGGTGGGATTTTATCTTCTCAAAGGAGTGAGACCACAAACCACTCTATTTCTAGAAGGTTGTCTAAGACATCTGGTCTGTGTGATTTTTATAACTCATTTGTTGGGGTTATATCAGAGTGGAGAAGTAGAGAGAATGGGGAAGATGTTCGATGTTCACAAGGTGTACCTACAATGGTGATGGATAATGTTAAGATTCTGTTGCATGCTAGGGAAATTTATACAATTGAGATATACTATTTGTTTAAAGAACAATTTTTGAAAGGTGGATCATGCTATCAAGAGTGTGTGATGTTGGAAGATGGTGTGTACAAGTATCATGTTTGGAGGCCTGATGTTGATATTATTAGGCATGAAGTGATCTTTAACAATAGACAAATGGACATTGGATGTAGTTGCAAGTTGTTCACTGAATTGGGGATTTTGTGTTGTCATTGTTTACGCATTCTAAATGTGCATTGTGTTTCTGAAGTCCCTGAGAAGTATATTTTGAATAGGTGGACTAAAAAAGTTGTTGAAGTTGATAATTTTGATATAATGTCTAGAGTTGATAGTGGTAATGGTGCATCTTCTGTTTGGTTATTAGAAATCATTAGGAAATTTCAGAGGCTTGCTGTTTACAGTCAGGAAAATATCGAAGGACGGAAGATTTGTGAAGAAGCAATTGCAGATGCAAGGAGAAGACTTGAAGCTGAATGTGGTGGTAGTTTATTTGAAGAATGTGACATAGGATCGTCAAGTGGTGTTATAAAGGATCCATCTACTAGGTGGATGAAAGGGTTGCGGAATAGGAGGGTGAGCAGTGTTATTTCAAAGAAATATAACAAAGCAAGGGGACGGAAGCATCTTGCACATATGGTTGCTTCCAAAATAAAATCTGCTGTTCAGTCTCAAGTTGAGGATGATATTTTAAATATTGCTGGGGATGGATATCTTGTGCATCCAAGTTCCGGAGGTTCTAATTTTTGTCACGTTAGCACAATGTCAAGTATGGAGGACAATTAAAGCATATGTTAGTGTTAATCATCGTAGTTATATGTATCATGTACAGAAGGATGTTGAATCATATAACTCAGCAGTAATAAAATAGACATTTATTATGATTTGTGTTGTTTTAAAAGTTTATGTGTATTCATTATATAGTTTATGTGTATTACTTCATATGATTATGTACATTTTTATTTGTGTTAATTACTTTTATATATTTATGTACATTTTTTTTAGATTTGCAGTTATCAGTATAGGGAAATGATATGCTTGGTCCTATGTGTATTCTGTACATGGATTATATTCAGTAGGATGTTTGATTGTATAAATTAGCAGAAACAAAATATTTGTCAGACTTTTTTTATTAGTATGTGCACTGTTTTAAAAGTTTATGTGTATTCATTATATGGTTTATGTGTATTACTTCATATGATTATGTACATTTTTATTCGTGTTAATTACTTTATATATTTATGTACATTTTTTGTTAGATTTGCAGTTATCCGTATAGGAAAATGATATGCTTGGTCTTATGTGTATTATTTGAATGGATTATATTCAGTAGGGTGTTGGGTTGCATAACTTAGCAGAAACAAAGTTATTTATCAGACATTTTTTATTAGTAGGTGTACTTTTTGAAACGTTTATGTGTATTCATTTTATGGTTTATGTGTATTACTTTATATGATTATGTACATTTTTAATAGTTTATAGTTTGTGTAGTATTTGCATTGATTATGCACAAAACTATATTGGGAATATGAAAAATATAGAATACGAGTAAACATTATCTTGGATTACCAAAAGGATTTTATACAAATTTCTGATAATTGTAAATCAACAGAAACTTCCAAAAATTGAACCAAAATACAAGTAAGTTTGAGCTTGGATTAACAGAATTGCTTTTCACAGATTCTTGTTAGTAGTTTCACTTTTATTTCTTGTAGATGTCCCTTGCTGAGTGCATGACTGTTTCCATGTATTCATTGTTCTTCCACATGAGTATGTTTGCTGCATATTTGGCTCTAAGTGATGTAATGGAAGCAGCCTACAATAAATAAAAGATAGATGTTAAAATTAGAAGAAACAAGAGATAACATGTGTAATGTAGAACAAAGTTGATTATTACTTACATCATTATCTCCCCCCCCCCCCCCCCCCCCCTCGTGAAACCAGTTTCCCACTTGTCTACCTCAGTCCCTTTGTAAGTTTCCATGTGGCGCATGCAATACACGCCACAATCTGTTGTGTTCTCTTCATCCTGCCATAGCATTTGAATGCACTCCACTTCAATATTCTTCACTTTCCTAGCAAGGGAGTTTTTCTTTGATTGGAGGTATTTGTAGAAAGCTGTTTTCTGCACAATTTAGTAATTGTAGTGTTTAATTAATTTGAGTAATGTAGATATTAAACTATAGGCTATAGATATTAAATAGGAGTATTAGTATATCTTACCAATTTGGCTGGGCAGTTCTCATATCTGTTTTTACTTGGTATTCCTTCAGGCAATAGTTTGTTGTCAATGATTTGAAGTTTTGACTTGGGGATGTTAAAGCACATTAAGTAGTAGTGATTGTGCCTCAAGATTGTAAAGAAAACCTAAAATAAATAATCAAAAGGGATTTAACAAACTGTGTCAAATACAGACGTAAATTCAATAATCTTAGAATTCATATAATTAGGTATATATATGAATTCTAATTAGGTATATATATATATATATATATATATATATATATATATATATATATATTACTTACAAGACTTGCATCTGTTATATCAATAGCAGTCCCCCTCAACTGGTAGTCAATATTTGTACAGAAGTCACCAACATTCATAGTCCTAGCTTTTATTTCAACCTTTTCAAGCGTCATCTGTAAAGAAGAGGTTGGGTGTCATATAGTACATTGTTTTAAAAAATGCTTAGTTCTAGACGTGTACTTACGTAAGCAGCCTCTGAGAAGAAGATCCTCTTTGGTTGATCAATTGCTCTTTTCATATCAAGCACGGTCAATCTGTATGCCCAAATCTGCAAGATATTGGTAGCTAGTTTCCCACTTGCCAGTGTTGCAATGTCCTCTCTTGTTGCAAACAGATCATGGGCAGAAAACAACATTTCACTGGAAATAAACAAAACAAGTTGATATTACAAAATAAACATTTCACAATTTAAAGTAATCTACTGTTGCCCCATAATGTAAATGTATAATGTACATAATGTTATGAAGTAATACACATAACGTATAACCAGGATACACATAATTTTGTGTTTAAGAATAGCTGTTATTTATGATGAGGTATAGCAACTGAAAACATTTATTATAACAAGTTATAGAAGAAATACACACTAAGAAGGGTAGTCCTCTTCATTTGGTGGCAGGAACGCATAGTCCGAGATCAGTTTTTCCCTGGCTGAAACATTCTTGAGCTTTGAAATGTTGCTTGTCCAGTATGGGGATCGACAGGCTAGAGGGAGGTTCTTGAATTTTCGTTGTGGCCTTTTCCGGACATTGACATCTTCAATATCATCTTCAGATTCAGCCATGATGCTTTGTAAAGACAGAAAAGTAATTATTAACATGTTTTAACTTTTAAGCAATAGGCATAATAGCATGATTAAATAATTACTAAGGATAAAAATGTACATAATATTATAGTAGAATACACATAAAATATGAAAGCAATATACATAATCACATTTGGTTTATGATTGATGAGATATTAAACTGAACCATAAATGTACATAATTACTAGATTAAACACACATAAGGATACTATTAAGTGATAAGTGAGTTTTACCTATCAAACTCAATTTGTTCTGGAGTTTGTTGTTCCGGGGCTGGTAGTGATTGGGTTGAACCATCAGCCATGTCATCAACCAACTGCTCCAAGAGTGTTGCAATTGGGGTAATTGGTGTTGTATTTTCCTCCATTGTTTGTGGTGGTGGTGTGGTGGGTGATGCTGATAGTGTTGCTGCTTGCGGTTCAGATGTTGGTTCGTGTGGAGGTGGTGTTGTTTTAGGTGGAGTTGCATTTGTTGGGGCTTCTTCAGGAGTAGCATCACAGCCAGTTGGCGTTAGCAGATGAAATGTGGGTGCAGGTATGTCTGCAGTCGACATGTTCTTCAATGTAGCCAGGAATGCCGCTTCAAGTTCAACAACTGCATCCAAGAAACTTTGCTGGCTGTATATATCGTTATCTCGTAGCAGGCTCTCTGGTGGGGTTGGATTCGGGCTTGGTGTGAGGTTGGCATTAGTGGATAAGTTGCTGAACACATTCTTTATAATGTCAACGACAGAGGTGTTTGCCCCAACCCCTGCCATGACCTCACCGAACTCCATAATGCTCGTGGTCATGTTTTTCAATGCTTTGGTGACCTTTTCAACTTCTTGACCTTGTGGCAGTTCATGTGGTGGTGGCAGTTCATGAGCTGGTAGCTGATGTGCAACTGGGATATATTCAACAACTTTCCCCCTTCCAAAGCCGCCTATGTTTCTTTCAACCTTGACCCTTGCTCTCAAATCGCTTGAAGTCCATGAAGTGATGGTGGGAATTCTCTTTCTGACTATCTCTCCTTTAACCTGCACCTTGTCTAGGTATGCCAGCTTCAAATAGAGAAACAAAAAAAAAAAAGAAAAAAAAAAAAGATAAACCATTCAAAATTAATATCAGTTCAGATTAATAATGTTCAGGATGACATAGTAGAATACACATAACTTTATTAAAAAATGTACATAATTATAGACTATAATATACATAATGTATATCAAGAATACACATAAAGTTGTAGGACAATATACAAAGTGCATACCAATAGGAAAGTTGCAGGCCTAGTGAAGGCTGCATCACGCTTGCTTTTCCATGTTGTGGTGGTGTCAACAAGAGATCGTATTGTGTAAGCACACCAGTTGAAGTCTTGGATTTTGCTGACATCTTGCAGTGAATAGAGGAGCCTGTAGTTGCAAAACATGTTCTTGAAACCTCTTATCAATGTGGAAACAATGTAGATTATAAAGTCACGTTTGAACATGTCGCCATTATCACGCCTCTCAATGATGCCATTCAGCATCTGGCTTGTTGTTGGTGTGCCTGTCTTTACACCCCACCGTTCTCTCCAAAGTGTAACCAAGCGCTTGTACTGTGGGTCTTTGCTCGTTACTTCAGCCTCTATAATAGTCTGTTGGCCTCTGGGGATACCAAGTGTTGAATGTACATCATCATCTCCTAGAAGGAGCTCTTACTCTTCCATATGTATCGAGCATCTACCAACATCAAAGCGCTCAAGAAGGTATCTCAGAAGTTCACCATCACATGTCTCGAACAGCTTGGTGCTGTTCTGGGCTCAAACTGCTGACAAGTGCACAGAGCTGCTTTGGGGAGGTCCGTACAGCTAAGTAATCACTGTGTTTTGGTTTTTTCTTCTGTTTTTCCTCCTTTCTTATCCTCTTTGGGGCTTTCTTAGGTTCGGCAGCTGTACTGGTGTGGGTTGTCTTTTGTTTTTTGGCAGCAGGATGTTTGGGGGCATCATTGGTACCTGTTCTGATTTCAACATTTGATGGTTCAGAACATGTTTCAGCACCTTTTGATGCAGTAGCAGTATTTTTCTTTCGTTTACCCTCACTGGCAATTTCTCGTAGTGTAGGATCAGATGTGATTGGAGGTGTTGACGTAGGTGCAACATTCTTATTTCTTGGAGATCTCCGGGGATTAGTGGTTGTAGTGGTTGACATTTCTGTAATAACACAATACACATAAATACAAATCTAAGGAATAGGTAACACTAATATTAACACCAGACAGACAATATATTGGGATTGAGAAGTTTACAGGGGTGCAAATGTTTAATGTACATAATGTTGAGGTATAGCAACTGAGAACATTAATGTACATAATCTTATATCAGAATAAACACAAGTATAAGTAATATGTAACCCTAGTTGACACTGCTGTAATAACATAATACACATAATCACAGTTCTAAGTAATAGGTAACACTAATATTAATACCAGACAGACAA